ACATGACTAAATGAAAAAGATAGAAACTAAAATGAAATCAGTAACCAACTATCATCAGTGTCATATTCTTCAATATTTAGATGAAATAATGGCCATACATCAGCATTGTTTAATTGGTAAAAAAAAAAAAATTCTTATTTTAATCAGATCAATTAAAATGGATGTTTTAAGCAAATATCTATATGAACAAAAATGTAAATATTAAAATTTTATAATTATGTCAAAATAAAATAATTCCTAATTTATAACTGTTGACTCTTAGAGAAATATCATACATAATTTTCATGTTTCAAATAAAAAGTTTAGTAGTAATAATAACCATTTTTAATGCTGAACTTTAACTGATTTAAGAGGAAATACGCCTATTTATCAATAGCTATGAGTTTTCAGTCGATCTCACTCTAATTTCCAGGATTTTTTATTTATTTTCAGTACCACACGACTGCCACAATTGTTCTGTATTTTATTTTTCATTTTCTCTTCCCAGATCTTCAACATATTTTCTTCTATTGCTTCAAGACAATATCTTCTTTTTTTTTTATTTTTTATTAGGAATATTAAAAAAATGATTAGGAAAATTGCTACTTTATAAACCTTCATAGTTATCTCTCTTGGACAAAATATCTGTAAGGGAATTTTTTTTTCTAATTTAGTTTCTGATTCTCTCTATGCATAGAAAATAGACACACACACACACAATCACATTTTACTCATTTATTCAACTTGCCTGGTAATTTTCTAATCTTCTAATTTTTACTAATGTGATTCCTTCTTCATCAAAAGTTCAAAATTTTCTAGCTGCTAGCCATTAGTTCTTTCAATGAGGTGCTAAAACAATTGATGCTATTTTCTCTTACTTTCTCAGAATATTCAACATTGCAGAGTGTTGTGCACAACTGTCGTCTATCTGTGTCTGTGTGTATTTCTAGACATACATGTGAAGCTTGTATTCCATCTTTTTCATAAGAATGCAGATATGCACTTTCCTGCAGCACACACTTGATTAATGCCCACAGCTATAGCATCCTACTCTTTTTATTCACTGAGTTTCTTTGATTTTCTTGAATTTTTTTTTCTTTTTCTTGACAATAACTTTTCCTTTGTTCTCTCTTTATGCACATCTATTAGAAAATATCATCATCTTTTAGATCTTCGCCTTTTATACCATCAATGCCGACCTTATTTCAAGGTTCGTCATCATTACTTTTGGAGATTATGTCAATTTAGTTTCTATCTTTTTCCATCTCATTTCATCATTTACATGTCAGTTAATATCACATTCATTTGTTTTCAACTTTATATGCAAATTTTCTGCTACTTTTTATCTCCCTTTTATCTTTTTCATGTCAGTTCCAAGAGTATATGTCCAGCCATTATCATATTCACATGACATCTTTATTTTAGTAATAAAATGAAATTTTTGCATTTACCAGCATTACAAAATTAAAGTACTAATAATAAGTGTCAAACGAAACATCTTTAAAGTAAGGGGAGGGTGGCACTTAACAGGTGAAGTAGTGAAAATGTTAACATCCTTTGGCATTAAATAAAGTCTGAAAATGTTAAACATTGTTTAGCTAAATGATTTGAAGGCAATGAATACAACACTTGCTCTATTCGGTTCTTAATTGAATTGATAAAAGCAAATACTACACTTTGATCACACATAAACAATTGTAATAATGATTTTATAATACAGTATTCAAAATAAAAGCAACTTATTTTATACTTAAATACTTTTATCATTACTATAAAAAATCATTCCTGCATCTACTTTGCTCATTATTGTATTCAAGATATCTTTTGGACTAGATTAACTTGTATATTTATTGTGCTAGTGTTCGTATGTAGACATTAAAGGATAAAAAATAAAGTAGACAAGGCTTAATTTATCCTAAAAGCTAATTTGTTTAGCATCTTTTATAGTAAAAATCCTACATATAATCAGTGAATTAAAGCGAGAAGAAATGTGTCTTTTATAAGATTTTGCCATTTGATTTGAATAAGTGATTAAATGAATAGAACTATTTGCCACAGAGATTTAATATTTCTTGAAAAACAAATTATGCAATGATGAGTGTACAAAACCATATTAATTTCATAAATTACTTAGATCTGAACTTCAGTCAACATGTTCTCTGGCTGCCTGCATCAATCAAAATATTTCATTAAAAATAATAAAAATGATAATAGTAGTTCAATTCATTTATGTTATAATGACAGTGTTTTCTTTTAAATCACTAACCTTAATAAATAGCTTATTTATGTTGAATTATTTTGCATTAAAATGAAATAAGTCTTAATATACACAAATATTTTTGGAGTTAATGAATTATGACTGACTATCTAAATTAGAGGCATTTATGGAAAAAAAAAGATATTTATGGATAAGATGTATTCTTTCTTACATGATAATTGTAAACACTAGCAAAAACTTCAATTTCAAGTTTAATACATAAACATTATGTAGAACACACACAGAATACACACACACACATATATATATATGAGGAAGTGGAAAGATTATATTGAATCAATTGCTAGGTCTGCTGCTAGGAAAGTTGGTTCACTGTGTTATGCTAGACAATTTTTCTTGCTAGACTCTATCTTACATATTTATAAGTCTACCATTCATCCTTGCTTTGAATATTGCTGTCACATATGGTTTGGTACTCCTGCTATATATTTAGAGATTCTCGATAAAATACAAAAAAGAATTTGCATTGCTATTGGTCCTTACCTGGCATCTTGGATTCAGTCACCCCACCACCATAACACAGCTTCCCTGTACCTTTTTCTATAAATATTTTCATGATAATTGTTATGATGAATTTTTCTCTATGGTACCTAGATTTTATGAATTTAAACACATTACTAGATTGCTGGCAAGGTCTCATTTTACAGATGAAAATGCTAGATGTAACCATAAGTTCTATGCTAATTGTTTCTTCTATTGCAATTTTCACTCATGGAACTCTCTTCCAACTTCTTGCTTTCAACTCAAGTTTAAGCTTCAAAACTTTAAATGCAATGTCAATCATTATCTTCTGAAGTTTAATTCCTGTTCTTTTATTGTTGTCTCTTCTTAATATTATTTTTTTTTTTCTATGATTATATATATATATATATATATATATATATATATATATATATATATATATATATATATATATATATATATATATATATACAAACACAAATAATAGCTGAATTAAACACTGTACTACAATTTAGCCTTGATAACACTTCCTCTGATATACTTCAAATTTATTCCTACATTTACAACCAGGGAACATCCAGCATATGGGGTGGTGACAGAAATACAAATAGAAAAATTTATGGAAAGCACACTTTGTGATCAATCTCTTGATAGGAATTTATGTTTTTAATATTGAGGGTTATTATATTTATAAAGTTTCTTTAGCTGGAAAAAAAAATACCCCTGGTCTATCTCACACAGACATATATATAGCTCCAATTTAAACTACTTATATTGTAATTTTTACATCTTTTTATTTAATATATTAAAATAATTGAATATGATAAAGTCAATCTTTTTAGATTTCAAATAATTCAAACATCATTGACTTTTATATAATAGATTTTTAATATGGAGCTATATAGTTTTAGATATTTATTTTAGAATTTTTTTTATTAAATCTTCATAAAATTTTAACTTGGCAAAAATGTGAGACAGTATATAATCTAAATACCTATAGGTAGAAAAGAATGGATTCAAATTCTGTTGTGATTCTGTTTTCTAATAAAACAATATCTGATCAGTAATATTTTGAATTCAATTTTCCACTTCAAATAGATAAATTCATTTACAGAACATTTATTTAGTTACCTTTATATTTTATGGAGATGAGATTCAAAATCTTGTTTGTTTATGAGGAGAATAGTATTATTTAATTATTATTTCTGTGTAAAATTATATACGAAACATTAACAGGAGTGTAGGAGATTTAAAATTTATTTTCTTTGCGACTATGTTCCAATATAGATTTTATAACAGCATTTTCTCAATAGGAATGAAAAAAATCATTAAGCAAAGATGTTTATATATTCACCTCATAAAATTTGGATATTTGTTATTTTAAAAATTCTACATTAGAAAAAGCTAATCCAAGCAAATTTTTCTTTCCTACATTGTTTGATAATTCTTTATTGTATAGGTTTCAGAAAAGCTCATCAAATGCAAATATCAAATTTAGTTCCTAGTGTAATTACATAAGAATATCAGTTCTTGAGAATTAAAAATATTTCCAATAAACATTTTAGATGTTTTAATTTGCTATTTTAGAAAAGATAAAATTCTGTTTATAAATTTATTAAAGTAATCTATATAATGATTAAAAGACAAATTTTAAGCTTTAGTTTGCAGTCTGGGCAATAGAAAGAGGACATAGTTTAAAAATTATGTTGACTTTGACTAAGACCTTCATCTTTGTTGCTAAGAACTTTATTAGGAATAACATAAAATTCTTAGCAAAAAAGATAAAGGTTTTAATCAAAGTGCATCAAATTTCAACTAATGGAAAATAACAAAATGTAAGAACAATCAGCATTATTTAACAGGATTTATTATTATTTTTTAATACTTTTTTAACTGAATTTATTAATAATTAGCAATTATTTTCCAGATAAATATTCATGAAGTTACAGAAGTTAATGAAAAAATAATGAATAAAATGTATAAGTGATATGAAGGATAAAAAAAAAAAAAAAAAAAAAACATTGCCCAAAGAAGAAAGTATCAAAGGTTTAGATACATAAGCTGCAGGTGTATTTTGAGGGTTTGGCCTCAAGGAAAAAAGAATCAACTCAAACAATGAAGAGACTAATTCAAAGTCTCTGTTTATTAAATATTTTTACATCATAATTAGTTTTATAAGTAACAATTTTTCATTTTACAAATATTTTTATTTATTTATTGAAATTTGAATGTTTTAAAAATAAAATAAATAAAGAGTTTCATAATGAGCTAAGAAACTTACGGTATATTGAAAAGCAGTTCTTCATCAACATCACTGTCCACAAACTGAAAAAGAAAAAAAAAACTAGGATTTACTTTTTTTACAACTACAAATTCATTAATATTTGTGTTAAAAACAATGCATTATTTGACACAATTAGACAATATTTAATTAGACATAAGTATGCAAAGGAAATTCAAAACATCAAAATATATGTAAGTCATGTATTGCTAAGCACAATTTGTTTTTATATTCAATCTTTTCATAAAGCAATGTATTGAAAATAATCTTTACAATTATTTCTAATATGTGGCTTTATGAAAAGATTGAATGCAGACAGAATTCAAATTAAATTTACAATTCTTCAAAAGTTTGTGCTTCCAAAAATAATATCACTTACAATTGAAGAAGGAATGGCTTGCATTTTTTATGTGAACCAAAGGTCATTTGAATAAGAGATCTTGACCTTATTTTATTTTAAGAGTGAAATTGGTATCAGAGAAAAGTTTCCCAATATTTTTGATCAGAATAATTATAAAAGTCATTAGTAGTCCATTTGTAATTCATAATCAAACACTAAAAACTGTAAAATATACCTGTAAATAATACAATGAACATAAAATATTAAGACAAGCATATTTTTTTTTTAAAAATGTTAGTGAAAAGTTCAAAAATGCCTTCCCAATTACAGAAAGAGAGAAACAAAATTTGTTGTACTTAGCAATATCACCACCCACAATTAGTGAGTGACTTACACTTTTCAGTAAGTTATAACAATAATTATATGAGAGTTAACAAACAAGAAATATTTTTTTAAAAAGTCAAAAGATGCATTTCTTACCACTTTGGACAGTATTTTAAATTAAAAAAAGAAAAAAAAAGATAAAATACAATTCATTAATGCCATTAAATAACAGAAAAAAAGTTTAATATTCCTTAATTTTCATTGTATAGATAAATATCAAGTCTGTTTCAGTTGAACAGTTTTGGTAGGCTTCTTACAGGTATTTTACAAGACCACTATAAGTTCATTAATTTAGCATAAAGTTATAAATTAAAATAAACTATTCAATAAATGAATTAAGTCCATTTTATGGTATTTGAAAGAATGGAAACTTTAATATAAAACATTCAAACTATGGTTTGTAAGTTTTATAACTTTTTTATCTTAATTTTATCACCATATTTCTATAAAACTTTTTCTCAAGATATTTTTGTGCTGTCACTTAACAAGTAAAAAAGAAAAAGAAAATAACAATAGAAACAAAAAGAAATGTAAACTTTTTACAATGGTCCCCAAATGAGTGGATTTCATCAGTGTTCACCATGGCATTTTTTGATGCCATGTCCTTTCAAGATGTTAGCAATCATGGCTATATACAAATGTTTTCTTTATTATCTGCAAATTGTTATGCCTCCTTGCAAAAGACAGCGGAGTGGTTTCCTGTTGCCTTCAACACTGTTTGGATTTCTGAGTTTTCCTTCTCTTATTTCTGATTTCTGCCCAAGGCTAGAAAGTCCAGTTTATTTAATCCATAGTTGGGGAGAAAAGAGACACATTTATACCTTTCCCTGGGGCATTTGTGTAAAAGTGAACACAACAAACTAACCTGGAATTTTCCATTTCCAGCTTTGATAACAGTTGCACAACCTGCACGCTCAATATATGCTTTAAAAGACAAATTATTCTTATCAGTATAATTAATGATTATTATACACATCAATAAAAAAGTGACAACAATTATCTACACTACTAGAGGACCAGAACAGTAAAATTGTAATGCATGAAATTCATCATCTGATTTTATGTGATGTAACAGAAGAAATGGTGTCCCAAAATGCTGGCTGCTTCAAAACTATCAACAATATTTTTTGTTCTTATGCTAAAAAAGAGCAACAAATTTGTATAAATATTTTAAAAAATGCCAATCATTTTCTAACTACAACATACACTGTAGGTTTAACAAACTAAAAAGTAAATTGTGCAAGACCCAAATGAGATCTGAATGAAGAAAAATGATCAGAAATTTTTATTATTAATTTAGCAAGGACTAATTTATAGAAGAAAAGATGACACTTGAGGCAGAGTAATAGTGAGTACATTCATTAAAACTTATGGAAAAGCAAAATTTAATTAATATTGAAAATAAGAAGCCAACAAATGGGTCATGTGATAACGGACTCATTGTGAAGCATCATGGTCGAATTGATAGCTAGAAGCAGAATAAGAACTGAAACTACATGCCAGGCTACATAACAACTTTACCTTAATGAATCAGATGGAAACCTCAATAACTAGTAAAAATGCAATAGATTTTTGTTTACACTAAAAAGGCAGTGAGGCAGAGGGCATATACATGCTTGAACTATTAAACCTTATACTTTTACCAGAAACAATAACAGAAGAGTCATTCAAAATTTAAGATTGAAAAGTACCTCAAGTGCTTTATGATTTTCTTTTAATTATTGTTTTGAATAACAATAAAAATATATTTAACAAAAATGTTTAATTTTTTTTTACTAGCCTTATATAATTAAGTTAAATCTTTATGTAGATTATTTCAAGAAGCAAGTTTGCTTAAACAAAAAAAAATACTGTTGTAAATAAAAAGTTAAAGATTTTTTTAAATGACAAAAATGAAGTAAGCAAAATTTTATTTAATGATTTTTACTATATATATATATATATATATATATATATATATATATATATATATATAAATAAATAAAGGTCTCTAAAGAATTTACATAATTTTAAAACTCAATGAATTATGATTATTCACATGTACTAATAAATTGAGCAGTTCAAAGTCATTCAAAAATAAATGTCAATAATTTCACAGTTAACAAAATTGAAATTCTAACTCCAAAACAATGAAACACTTGTGTATTACATTTTTCAAATGTCACAATGTGTTTTATACTCATTTAAAATTAATCACATAACTTTCCTACTGAACATATTAAAACATCTTCAATACAAATCATTACTTTTAGCAAATTAATGACTTATTACAAATTACATTAAAATAGTAATGGCACACATTTACAGAAACAGCTAGTCTAACCTAATACAGTTTTAAAAGAATATTTTCTTTACTATTTGTTTGAATCATTTCAATTTTTGAATAAACATTCCAAAATTAAGACTTCTAAAAATGATATCATTACTCATTCTAAGCCAACATTCAATGCATTGGATTGAGTTTAACAAGATCTTACTCCATTTATTCTTATTTTTATTCCAGATTCCAACAACAATAATAATAATAATAAGATTAAAATATTCATATAGTTTCAAGACAAATTCAATTGAGCATTGATAAAACAAGTTACCTCATTTCAGCTACAAATATTTTGCATCCGACTATGAAACTATTTTCCTTTAATTTTTGGTTTGAATCATTTTGCTCCATTTCTCTAACATTGGATCATTTTCTAGAATCACAACTAAATAAAAGTACAATTTTTTTTTTTTTTTTTTTTTTTTTTACATATTTAATTTACAAAATAGATTTTTCATTTTCAATCAATATCAATGGTGTTTCGGGAAGTAGTGTTCCTTGTATATATACAAGGTTTTTTTTTCATATGTATTGTTATTATTATATCCCTGGCCGTGTTGTTGTTGTTGTGCTTACAAGCATTTACAGCAATTCTGGAGAAAATCATGAATACAAAAATTTAATAAATTCGCTAATGAATTATTTTGATTTTCTATTCTCAAAATAGTAAAAAAAGAAATAACACTTGTATTAAATATGGGAAATAACTACACTGGAGTTGCTTCCCTTGGTAAGGTAAGTATACGTTAGGCGCTTGCTACAAAGTAGTAGTAGCCGGAAAAATAATTTTAAACATCATCGTAGTTAGTTCGCGAGACAACCTTGTGAGACAGACTATTATTTAATTTTAACATGATTATTTTTTTCATTATGAATAAAACATAAGCTAATGCTTTTAGTGTTAAAGATGAAGAATCGATGAGATGAAATTCCTTTTCTTCGCATAAAAAATAAGTCAATTTGTGATTTAAAGTTTGAACTCTTATCAAAATTGACTGTAAATGTTGATCAATTAAGACTTTGCAAATTGATTCTCAAAAATATGTTTTATTAAATCTGAATTCAGTTGTTGGGTAAAAGGATTTTTTAAAGTCCTTCATTTGCGAAATATTTGTAAAAATGTCAGATAATTTTTCCTTTTTATAAATATTTTTCTGTGATTAATAATCCCTTTATTTTTTTTTTTTTTTTTTTACATCATTGTTGTGGAATATTGGTTAGCTTGCAAGTGGTCTGACACACAAGTAGACTGAAAGCTAAAGCAATATTTATTTCTGTAAAAATAAAATACAGAAAATATGGCACAAGGCCGAAATGGGGAAGGGGAAAGAAGTCGGTCTTCTGTCTTAACTTTAAACTTAGCTAGCCACAAACGCTGACCCACTCATATTCCTTACACCAAAACAACACATTCTTACCTACCTTTCTCACCACATCCACCATAATACCTCAATGTCTCCATGAAAATACTAACTAGACCAAATATGTACAATTTATCGTCTGTGTGGGGAGGGGAATAAAAAAAACAATATTAAAAATCTTTAAAAAAACTGGCCCCAATGAGTATTTATAATATGAAATAAAAATATTTACAAGAAACTAAACAAAATCATGTTAGTAATAAAAACTTCCACAATCACTAAATGTGGCAGAAACATCAGTTAACCAGTCGAAATTAATGTGGGACTATAATAAAACATTCGTTCATCCTAAGCACTCACGTAGACACAACAACAAATACGAAAAATCACACACGAAAAGAAAGCGGTCCCGTATCCACCAGCGAACTGACATCACTGACCACCTAACGAGGGAGGGGATGGGGAATTATACTTAAAGAAATATAGGGACAGAAATAAAAGGGGCCAATGAGCATACATACCCTAGCTAAGTTTATTGAAAAAGGAAACTAAAGAATCAAAACTAAACCTAAGCTAACCTAATTTTGGGATGGGTTGCCCGTGTTCAACTCTGATAAAGCAATATCCTGATGCGTAACC